ATACAGAATGTTTAGGCTTCCCTGGTAGACTACTTATTATGTGTAATAGAGAATATGCATCTCAAATAAGGAATAGAGATAAAACACACTTCTGAACACAAGAATTCTTCATGTAGAAACTGTCAGCATAAAAAAGGTAGAATCCATGTGATACTTTGAAAGAACTGTACTCATATAAACGTGAACACTTACTCTTCAATAACTGTAGCTGGTTATTTATTTGGATTGCTTGGAAGTTACAGACCAGTTTTTCTAAAAAATCTGATTTGATATTTCTACCTAGTTTACCTCATTTTATATAACTGCTACCCAAATGCCAGTTTTGACTTGATACAAAGTATAAAAGTCTTTTCCCTGCTTTATGAGAAAAAAGGAGGACATTATAAGAAAAATAAAACATGTTGTTTAGTTATTTAAAAGGCCATGGACATAAAAAATATTAGTTTGCCTGTAAATTATAACATAGAACAAAATTTAAAGAATAAGTAATTCACTGAGACAATTAACTAAAATTTTTACCAACTGAATCAGTTTAAAATTTCTGTAGTTTAAATTAAACATTTACATCTTTGGCTGTTATGGAAAGCATTATAGAAGAAAATGTTTCATAAAAGGTAGTTGCTTTCCACAGTATCCAGTGGTTACTAATATTTTCAGAAAAGAATACCTACACAAAAGAGCAAGAGCTCAAAATTCATTATATGTACATCTGGCCACAAGGAATTTTCTGTAATCTGTTTCAGTATCAGAGCTGTGTTGAAGTCAGGGATTCGTACATTCTGTGGCTTCAATTTTTCCTTTGCTAATCAGCTCCCGGACTTCAGAGAACTAAATATTTGCCAGGACTGAGTCAAGTTTTCCTACCTTTGAATGAGTGTGTTTCTTGATTTCTGTGTATATTTCAAAAAAAATACAAGACCAGCTTATATCACAGTTGGGAGTCAGAGGTGCATTTAAAAAGACTGTCAGATAGATATTCTTCAGTATCCTTTATTACCAGGACTCTCCCACCACATTGCTCTGGAGTGTCCCTGCTCTGACCCACTCCAAGCACCTCTCCTCTCCTCACCCACAACTACTGGGCCCTTGAATCTCCTACTCTTGATCACAAAACCTATGCATACAGTCTCTTCTCCAAACTTTTGTCCTCCCTCCTCATTATAACTAAAACCTGATGAGCCAGGACCAGTGAGTCTAATACCCTACAGCCCACTCAGTGGAAGGCTGTTTCTTACTCTATTGCCAGGCATCTCTTGGCATCATAAGAAATTATTTCCCATATCATTTTCCATGTTCTTTCATACTTATAGTCTTAGAGGATCTTCTAAATTAGGGTAGCACATTTCTATCAATTTAGTAGCATTCTAGTAGCTATGATATAGTGATTTCATCATTCTAGTAGCATTCAGAAATGCAGAATTCATTTCAGAGCGTTCATGAGGTTTGTTGATTCATAGAAGGCTGGTTACTGTCTTATGCGAGTTCTTTTATGAGAATTCTATTTAAATGACTTCTTATAGGGCCTCCTTTAGAAACACAGCAGTTTTAGCTCATCCTTTAAATTAGCAGTCAGAATCGATTAGCTCAAAATTAGTTGATTTGTTATATTACAGATGCAATGATTGCTTTATTGATTCAATTGTTCACAAATTCATGCTTAGGTACTAAGTCCACACTACAGGCGAGGCACCATGAAATGCCTTCAGGAAACAATAAGCAGAAGAGATGTGGGCTCTTCCTTCATGAGAAGACAGATATAAACAAATATGACAAACTATTCATATAAACACAAATTATTAATTATAAATGACAATTAACACAAAATATTATTTAATTCTATAAGTATTCCATTGGAAAAGTCCAGAATGTCATGCCTGGGGTGGGTGGAGACGGAATATAGAGAGATCAGCTTGTTGAGAATGGATGCTTCAGGAAAAAAAACAGAAAACTGGACGAGAACAAAGAAAATTTTACCAGTTCTTTCCCTTCTATTTACATATGCTATTGATTGATGCCCAAGTAGTTCCTGCATTATGGCAGCTTGGGTGTATGAAAAGGTGTTTATTTTTCAATTAAATAAAGGGAACAGTTTTTGTTTGGGCTGGCTTAAAAACATTCTGGCAGTCACAGCTGTGAGTTTTCATATATTGTTTCTGCCCACTTACTATGATGCTGGTGGTGATGCCTACAATGAAGTGACCCGTGGATTCAGAACACATTGGTTTTCTGCTTCTTTAGTGGAGTCTTTGGAAACAGTCGAGTTTAACTGATATGTAAACAGAAGACTAAAGGCTAAGTAAGTGCTTTGATCCAACTCTCATTTTCTCTTCGAGTTTTATAAATGTTTTCTAAGTTCTTATATATGGCTTTTTTGTTTTTGTTTTGTTTTTTCTTTTTCAGGATTATGCAAAGACTACCTATTTAATTCAGTGAATAAATAATTCTTTTGTTTTTATTGTTACATAAAGCGTAGACAGCATTCTTTGATACCGCTCAGTTTAACTGTCAGATAAAAAACAACTTATAATTATAGATACTACCCCACTCGGTGAGGAATAACACCAACCATAGTGACAATGTTCTGGTTTTGATTTCAAAGCAATCTTGAGCAAGACTCCTTTGAATTGGAACATGAGTCAGCGTTTAGCAAAGCTGAGTTTAAACCTCTATTCCAGATTCTGAGTGACAAGAGAACTTCTAAATAGGGCACTGTTTGTTCATAGTTTTAGGTATCTGTGATTTACTTGGCTTTGTTAGACAATAGGGGCTTTGGTTTAGTTATATTTTTAACATTCCTTAAAATACATCAGAGTGTTCCCATTTGGGATGTGGATTAGCATGGTGGAGGAAATGAAGAATTTACGAGTGCCGAATACCCAGGGATTATGTGCTGGGCTCTGTGCTGGATTGCCTTGGTTAATATTTTTTTGGTTACACGTAATAGAAAGTGGCTCTGGCTAGCTTAAGGGGAAAAATTAAGTGGTGCTGGCATATTAGAAGAATATTTGGGTATCTCGCAGAATCCAAGATTCAAGAAAGACAGGGATCAGGAGACTTCTGACCTTGGAAGTAGAGTTCATGTCTGTCTCCCTAGAGGAAAGGAGCTGTAGTGTATCACCATAGGACAGGAGGTGTAGTTGGGGTCAGATCTTCATCGGATGACAAAGTCAATCAAGGTCAGAGGGGCAGAATCATATTGTATAGCCAGTTGTTTGTGGGCAACCATACCTGTATTTTGTGGGCAATTCCCAGAGAAAAGGGAATTACTGTGAACTGGTGACCACACCAGCCAGGTCTACTAGGTGAAGCATTTTATAAGCTTAATTTAATTTTCACAAAAAGCCTATAAAATCACTACTTGTACCTCACAAATGAGAAAAATGAGACTCAAATTGGCTAGGTAACTTTTCCAACATTTCACAATTAGAATGTGGCAGAGCTAGAATTCCAATTAGGTTTACGGGGGGGGGGGTCGGGGGGGCGGCGGCTAGTCATCTTCTTAATTGGGATAAGATTACAGGGGATAGAAACTTTGCGACATTTTCTCATGGAGAGAATATCAGGTATCTCCACAGTACTAGAAAGAGTAAAACTGCATGTTGAAAGCTCTGAGGTTGAATCCCGACTCTACCCAGTCACCACGGGCCAGTAAACATTTAAGCCTCTCCACTAATAATTGTGGGTATATCATCTCCTTCACGGGGTTGAGATATGTGAAAATACTTGGCACAAAGCAGATACTCATTTTTTGGTGAGGAAAAAAACTTTTCTATTAATGAATCCTCAAGCATGCTACTAAAAATGGAGTTACAGTTTGATAGTGGCTATAGTATTCAAAAAATCTAATGGCTTTCTTACTCTCAGCCTTTCAAGATGGTGCCTTATTCATGTAAACATAACAGTGTGAAATGCTACATAAAAAGAGTTAAGGAAATCATACAATAGGCAAAGAAAATTTTAGATACGAAACATCTGACTACTTCTCTTTGAGACTTTGGGCTCACATTTCAGGGAAAAACACTTAAGGAAATCATATAACAGGCCAAGAAAGTTTTAGATACAAAACATTTTACTACTTCTCTTTGAGACTTTGGGCTCACATTTCAGGGAAAAACAATACTTAATCATCTAATTAGTGAATACTACCTTAGATGGTCAACGTCCTTTTGATAACCAGAGCAAAAACAGAATACAGTTCTGAATGTGGAAATCTATAACTTGAACATGATTGAAACATACTACCTAATTCAGTTTGGAAAGATTAATGCATTCAAATAATGAATTCTAAGCCCAGATGATTCTTCTTGGTTATCTTTAAAGGCAGCTCTGTGGGACAAAAAAGCACCACAGCAATCCAAGAGTTTATTATTGTGCATGGTGGGTGTTCTGCCAACACCCATAGACTGATTGGTATCAGTTTGTTCCAAATTCTTCAGACAACAATTAGTCTATGTCAACAGCAAAGTTGGAACCCTAAATGGAAGAAGAACAAATCTTTCTGTGAAGGTAGGACATGAAAGAGAGGTGTAGACTATTATATTCTCTTGATAGTTCTATCTCTGGATCCGAATTTCTCTGGATATTAGTTTCTGACCTTCCATGATTCATTTTCATATAAATCATATCTGAGTAACTTTTGAAATATCCTATCATTTTAAATTTGATGACAAAGAGCCAAGTGGTTTTAAATATGACCATAACATTGTGTTACTGGCTTTTTCCTGAATTAAAAGCCCTCCTACCATTTTTACTATGCTGCAATTCAAGTAAGTGGCCTGCTTGCTTTAATTTCTTATTTAAATTTGTAAGAAAAAACTAGTTATTCATATTTAAAGCTTTTTAGTAAATAATATTGTAAATATTTATGGGAGATATATATTAAAAACATCATCATCCATGGATATTTAAGTTTGAGTAAGAAAAAAAATTAAAAGAATTAATTTAAAAAAAGAAAGGATAAAAAAAGAAATATAATAACCAAATAAGTTTTTGGAACCAAATAAGTTTTTGGAACTCTTTTTATTATTATTACACTGAGAAAATCCAGAAAAGTACAAAGCCCATGAAAGTAGAAGCATTTCAGAAAAGAAGACAATAATGTTTGGATACATTTTAATGACATTTAGTTTTGATGTTAAAGTAACTCATGATTTCCCATTGAAGCATACTGTTCACGAATTAAATACACTCTAAAGTACTGGGAAAGAATTTCATCTCTCTTATATTTGAACCGGAATTCATATAAATTGTTACATTATATTCTCTTTCTAGAGATTAAATTCATGGTGTGATTCATTTAAAACATGACTTTCTTGATTCATGGTGACTTTGAAGAACTGAAATAGGAAATAAGCATATATCACACACGTAACCCTTTAAGTGGTACATCAGATCAAAGCTGAATTAATATAATAATTGTTAGTTATTTTCAATTGTTACCAATACAAATAGATTCCAATACAGAAACGAAGTTTGGTAATATCAGAATGAGATGTTGAAATCCATGCTGTTTTTACCTTAAAATCAAGTAAATGCATGATTACATTCTAAAATCTTATTAAGAGTCACTGTGAGGCAATAAGTAAAGATATTTACTACTTTTGCCAAATACAATAAGCCAACAGAGGCTATAAAGTTTACTTAATTAACTTTTGGTAATGTGGCAATTTTCAATGGCTTTTGGGTCACATAATACTTTGTTGCTGCTGCTGCTGCTGCTACTATTACCACCACCACCACCACTACCACCACCACAAAAATAGTAGTAAATGTAAAGGAAAAAAAAACCAAAAGATAAATTAGATCTCTTGGTAGTTCTAAATATTGTTTTGGTTTATCCTTGAAGTGGAAATCAATTCTCCAAGGTTTAGAGAGAAAACAAAAACATCTTTATAATTCACAGCATGTATTTTAGAGGTCTAATGATTTATCAATAGCCAGTGTGGTTAGCTTGTCATGTTCTCTTTATTCAATGTCAACTGGTTCCGTAGCTATCAAAGCACTTAACTGTTTCTGAGCACAGGAGAGGAAAAGTTCCAAACTGGACAGGCTTCTTTGGCGGATGACTTGATCAAGCTGTTGATTTTTTTTTTTTTTTTAGGAAAGAGAGAGAGAGAAATAGAAACAAAAACAAAAACAAAAACACTTAGTTGAGGATAAAGAATATTAAGCCACTGAAGTCCACTAGAGAAACCTTTTCAGATGATGATTTATAAAATAAAAAAGTGCTTTAAACTCAGAGACAATGTAGTCACTATTTCTGGGTTATTATCTAGGATGAGACAATAATCATTACAATTTTATAGTTGATGTTAGTACTCAGCTACTAGAGAAATTAATCAGAATAATTTAAAAAATACATAAAATAATAATTTAAAAAATATAAATTTGATCACAGTAATTTAAAAAAAACATAAAATATAAAATGCTAGTTCTTAATAATATACAGATCAAACATCCACAAAGATCATATATATATATATATATAAAAGATACACAGTACAGAAAAACAGCATAATTACATTATGCATAGGGTGTAGTAGGACAAAAGATACGTGAGAAGATGAGGACTTTTCTGAAATTAGAGAAAGTTCTTGCGAAAAGTGTACTTTAAGAAATATTTGATATTGTTGAAACTTATTTGACTTGGCTTTCTGCTGAATGAGAGGTTTTTATTAGGATTGTTTTAATATTTCAATAAAAAATTATTATAGTAAACAAAACAAGAGGTTTAATAATAAAAGTTATATATAGTAAAGAACTTTCTGGATGGTAAGGATTATTGAATACATAAAGAAAAGATTTGAGTGCCGCAGCTATGTCTTACTCGGCTGAAGATTACAATTCTGAGACGGCATATGACCCCTATGCTTACCCAGGCAACTATGATATGCACACAGGAGATCCAAAGCAGGATCTGGCTTATGAATGTCAGTATGAACAGCAGACCGACCTATCAGGTGATCCCCGAAGGGATGAAAAACTTCATCCACTATTTCCACAAAACTCTCTCAGATCTGATTAACCAGAAGAAGGTATATGAGCTGCAGGCCAGTCCAGTCTCCAGCGATGTCACTGATTGGTGAGATCAGGACATCTATGAGAACAGCTGGACAAAGCTAAAGATTCTTTAAGAATACACCTTAGCCTGAGGCTGAAGTCATTGCTCCACAGGTTGGTAACGATGCTGTCTTCCTGATTTTGTACAAAGAATTGTACTACAGCTACATATATGCCAAAGCCAGTGGGGGAACTTCCTTGGAGTAGAGGTTTGAATCCTATTATCTCTTGAATCTTACTGCAATCTCTTCAAGTACATTCTTAATGCTGATGGTCCTGGTCCTCTTGAACTACCCGACCAGTGGCTCTGGGATATCATCCATGAGTTCACCTATCAGTTTCTGTCATTTAGTCAGTACTGCTGGAAGATCACCAAGAAGTCAGGAGAGGATATGACTTCCTTCATTCCTTTCCTAAAATCTAGAATGTACACAGTGCCCCCAATATCCTTCACTCACTGTTACACAAGAGCAACCTCAACTGGCAGTTGGAGGTGTACACAAGCGGAGCTGACCCTGAGAGTGTGGCTGGGGAGTATGGACGGCACTTCCTCTACAAGAGACTTGGCTACTTCAGCCTGGTGGGGTTTCTGTGTCTGCCCTCCCTACTGGGGGATTACTACCAGACCATCAAGGTGCTGGAGAATATCGAACTGAACCAGAAGTGCATGTGCTCCGTGTGCCGGAGTGCCAGGTCACCACATACTATTGTGCTGGTTTTGCATACTTAATGATGTGTTGCTACCAGGACGCATCTGGGTCCTTGCCAGCATCCTCCTCTACGTCCGGAGGTCCAAGAGCAAGTTTCAGAGGACCACTTAAAAGCATGAGATGATTAAGAAGCAGAACGAGCAGGTGCATGCGCTCGGACCAGCGCCCTCACCAGGTAGCCCATGTGTACCGATGAGAGCATTCCCCTGCAGCTTCGGGAGAAATACGGGGATAAGATACTACACATGCAGAAAGGTGACCCGCAGGTCTATAAGGAACTTTTCAGCTATTCCTGCCCCAAATTCCTGTTGCCTGAAGTGCCCAACTATGACCACGTGCACCCCAACTACCACAAAGGAACCCTTCTTGCAGCAGCTCCAGGTGTTTTCTGATGAAGCACAGCAGCGGGCCCAGCTCTCAACCAGCCACAGCTTCGGTAAACTCGACACCACCATGCCGACGGCCAAGCAGGTGGGCTTCCTGGACCTCATAGAGCAGGAGTTCCGGATCCCACTCCCTGTTTTCAAACACAAAATGATGAACCTGGTGTGGCCCAGCGGCATTTTTGCCCTAGATGGCGAATTCCAGTCAGCCTCTGAGGTTGACTTCTACAACGATGAGGACATGATTGACCCACACCACAGACACAAAGGTCGCCAGGCGCTACGGGGACTTCTTCAACAGATTCACACATTTAAGGAGCTCAATTGAACACTGAAGAAAATAGGACAGGGACCCTAAGAACATTCACACTGCCGTTAGTTAGAAATCTATTTTCATGTCATGGTTGGTGGGGGATATTTTTGCCACTGTGAAGGCTTTACCTAGCTCAGTCATTAGCCAGTCAACTGATGAAGTTTATCTGAATCAAGGACTAAAACGTTTTAAATAGGTCTCAGTAAAGAGTCTTCTTTGGAGCCAGGAAAAAAAAAAAAAGGTTCTAACTCTTCTGCCCTAAAAATTTTGCCCATGGTGTAAAAATAACCAATGACAACACATTGCCTACATATTACAGAACAATGAAAGAACTCAAAGGAAAGCCAAGTAAAGTCCATTTCACAATATATACCTGTCATATTTATGTAAAAGTTGACATACTCTTCCCACAAGTTCCCACCAACATAAAAGAAAAACAAAAGACAAATCCAACAAGAATTCTGTATTAAACCACAATTCTATAATCCACTGATATTCAAAATGACTGAAAAACTGAAAGATTAAAAATTTGAAGTATCCTCAGCATTAATAAAAAAAAAGAATGCATTATGCTATTTAGCAAAATGCTCATGTAAAAAGATTGTACACCACTAAGGTTCCCTTAAATTCCAATATTTTAGGATTTTAATATATGTACAGAAATAGGATTTCTTATTTTTTTTCCTCATTTTTTTTTCTTCTACTCTCAGATGATACCTACCTTTAGGTGAATATGTATCTTCTGCTTACAAGTCTCTATTAACCAGACAGTTCATTGTACTATAAACGCCAGGTGAGCAGAGATCTTGTCTGTCTTGCTGACTACTATACCTCAGCATCTAGAAGAGGGTCTGACACTTGTTAGACCCTCATAAAATATTTGCTGAGATTGAATGAATATTTAACCCTAAAAGAGCAAAGCAATTACTAGGAAATGATAGACACAGTTTCAATTCTAGAAGTGAAAATGTGTAACCTAATCTAAAAGATAGGTAGGGGTTAAAGTTGAATTTTTAAAAGTTTTTTAAATATATGTAAAACAGATTGAAATCTAAATATTTGCAGTTTTTAAAATTATTTTGCACTTGGTCCAAATTCAAAGAATACAGAAGAGTGTACTACCACCCAGTTCCAGTCCATTTCCAGTGGTTTCTGTCTACTTTTGGATGCTTTCAAGAATTTAAAGACAGGTCATTAAAAATCTTTGGTCCAGATCTCATAACTGTTAACTATAGGAGGGTTGACACAATCAGTTAGTTCCACTGCCATTACTGGAAATTTTCCCTGTCTCATTTTTAAGAAATTGCTTGACTGTATTCCATGATTTATTTAGCCATATTCCCATTAATAGCCATGTAAGTTTACTAAAATTTTGTCTTGTTTTTGAAGCACCAAAGAAATTTACAACCTGAGTGCACTCCTTTCAAAAGATGTTACAGTTTCTCTGGCACAGATTCTAATATGTGGAATTTCCAGGTCATGATTTGCATATTGTAAACTGTGATAGATATTACCAAATTGCTTTCCACAATGAGAGTACCAATTTATGAGTCCCATCTGCAGCGCATAAAAGGACCAGTTTGCCCTGTTTTCTTTCATTAAATGGTTGCATAGTTTTCCTTTATAAGTTTATAATTATATATATATATACATATATATATATAATGGATATTTTATTATTTATTTTAAAATTATTCTATTAATAGACATTTGGAATGTTCCTAATCTTTTGCTATTATAATCAATGCTATAACGAACATCCCTCAATACAGACCTCTGTATACTTATGTTAGTATATCTTATAGAAATTGTTTGAGCCAAAGAATATGTCATCTCCAATGTTACTTCTATAAATCAGGTTTCCATACACACATGACTCTGTCTTTGGGCTCCCTATTCTCTTCCCATAGACAATTCACCTATCCCTACAGAAATATAACTCTGTCTTAATTACGACGGCTTTATAATAAATCCTAACACATCATGTATTAACAACCATATTACCAAGCATTCCATCAAATATTTCAGATGAATGTCAATTAGTGAACATATGTAATAAAATTGAATTTAAAAAGTGATCAGACTAGAGATTATGATACCTTTTTTTTTCATAAAGCACAAAAACCAAGTAAAGTTCAAAAGTGTATTCTTTTGAGTTACATCAATATGCAATCATTTCTAAGGCAAGGAAATTATGCAATCCAAACTGAGGATAGCTGTACCTGGAGCTATATTTGGAGGGTGGAGTCAGGCAGGTTGAGATATATAGATTCATTTTGGAGGTGGCTTCCTGGGTGTTTGTTTTACCATTATGTTTCATGACTTACATGTGTTAGCTAATAATTCATTCTTTTAGAAGCCCCTTAGTACAACCAAGAGTTCCATAAAAAACAATTTTGTCTTAATATCTTAGAATTTATGAATGTTAGATAAAGGAGAAACTTCTCTCCTTTTGAGGGCATATAGCACAAACAATTTGCAACTAGCATTCAACTTGTGATTGTTGCTAAGTAACAATAATCATCTGGATTTATGCATTCAGAGTGAATATTTTTTAATTTTTAAAAAAGCAAAGAGTATAAGAACAAAAAAAGTTTGACAGATTTTTAT